TCTGGACACTGACCAGCCTCCCTACCTGCCCTCTTGAAAGCTTCCCAGATTCCCCGAAGCCCTGCGACCTCCAGAAACCCGGCATGCCTTTTAGGACCTCCCACCTTCTCCGGCTCAGATTCAGGCCACCTTCCCTACAACTTATGTCGCTGAACACCAAGGCCCCTCTGTGGTCCCCTGAGCCATCATGGCATCTGACCCACCAAATGTCTCTGCAACAAGCTGAGGGCACATGCCCACCTCATGAGACACTGAGGCTCCAGGAGATGGTCTTGTCCACCTAGTGCCCACAATCTTCCAGTAAAAACCAGCTTCTCAGGGACACCGCTTGCCTGGCACTGCCCCAAATGCCATGCTGGCGCAGTCCTCTCACCCAGGCTGATCTGTGCTGGGAAAGTCCTTAGCGTGGGGCTGTTTCCTGGCTTCTCCTCCTACCAGAACCAAGGCCTGTCTCTTCCAGGACGGCCTCCCAGCATGCTTCATGGGCCTCCACTGGAGTCAGCACACCAGCATCCTAGAACTCCGGGCACAGCTGGCGGCTCTTCTCTACCTTGTGTGCACAGGGTTTGTGGCCTGAAGCTCAAATCTCAGGCTCTCTTTTGACCAGCTGTGTGACCCTTTAGGTAACAGTTTCCTGGAGCCTGGGTTTCATGCCTCTTTGATAGAGTTTTAAGGACTTGAAATACTGCCTACAAAGTGCTTAGGACAGGACGAGTGCTAAACGAAAGACAGCTGGTGTTACTTGTCATCTACGGGCATTTCTAGGATGCTAACAGGGATGGACAGGCAGATGATCAAGGGACAAAGCAAGCTTAGTGATGCACTCCCTGGAGAGGCCAGGAACAGGTACAGGAGTGTTTGTGATCCTTCCAGATCTTCTCCACCCGGCTGTTGCTGCTAGAGCTCTGTGTGTGGCGAGCCCCAGGCCAGTGGTGCTCTGTGCTGGAGACTCCTGCAAACCTCCTAAGGGGCGCTTGCACTAGAGCTAGAGCTCCCCAAACCCCCAAATCTAATCAGAATCTCTCGAGCTGGGCCCAGGGCTTGGTGCCTTTTTAGGGTCCCCAGGCACAGCCACACCACACCCTGCAACCAGTATCTCTCCTCCGGGCTGACGGTGTAATCAACACGCTGCAGGAAAAGCCTCATGACTGTGGACTAGGTGACAAGTACCTGAGTCCCACAGGACTGGGCCACTGGTGACAGGCAGATGGCAGCAAGCACAGCCTCAGCAGCCTGCAGGCATGCTGAGCCTCTTCCCCCAGGCAGCCACCGCCCAAGCCCGGCAGCAAGGCTGCTGCTAATCTCCACCTGCAGTGCGGAAGGCAAAGGCGGGGACCAAGCTATCTGTGCCCTGGCACCGGAAGGTCTCACTGTCATGGTCACCCTGGCACCGGAAGGCCTCACTGTCACGGTCACCTGCCAGGCAGGACGCCTGTATCTTCCCTACCACAAATGGGCTGACGAAGCTTGATAAAAACCTCCAGTCTTGAACTCAGGAGTTTGTGTGGGTTCCATTCTTTTATAATTTCCTTATTCAATTATATATTCGTTTATAAATTGCAAGTCTATGTTTGGAAGTCATAAATATGCAACCCTGTTATTTTATGATTTCCTGTTTTTCTTTCACTATGAAGCTTCCAGGAAGAGGCGGATATCCTAGCTGGGAAGGACTCGGGGCCCTTGAGAGCCGGCCTTGCTCAGCGATACCCTGTAGTAAAGTGTCCAGAAAGCTTCCAGGAGCCCCAGCGGGCCGCTTTCCCACCAGATGTCTGATCAGCTGTAGCCAAAGCTGTGTGGGGAGGGGGACAACGGCCACCTGAGGGGCACCTGGGAAAAGCAACACTAGGTCACCATGTGAGCCTCGCTAGCCTCAGCTTCAGCCACTGCCAGCCCCTCTGCCCCAGGGGGCTGTGACCGTCCCACTGCCTTCTGTCAAGCAGGGCTGGGAGGAACGTAGCTCTCTCAAAATGGTGGATCAAAATTTGTAACAATATAGTGGACAGTTCCAAGAAAGAGTACAGTTCATGAGGTTAAAAGCAGTAATACAAACGAGAGCTTCAACACTCATCCTCAGATTCTGAGCAACAGCACAGACTCTAGGAAAGAATGACACTGAGGCAACAAGGGCTGACCTCAGGCCTCTCTGCGGTGAGAAAATTAAACAAGCGGGGATTGGCTGATACAAAGGAGGAGCTCTACTCCGCTGTGCTTTGCCTCTGATGTCCACTGCGTCTCCCAGATTAAAGCAGAGCGTGGGGCGTGGGGAGGCCAGCTGCAGTTCTCACATGGGGTGGGAGCAGCATCCTAGGTGCCTTCCAGGGTTCCACGCTCTCCCCACATGAGCTCAGAAGGCAGAAAGGGGTTCAGTGAAACTGATCACGCACCCCTGAAAAGCACCGACAGCTCCAAGCCCACAGGAGAAGCCCACGCCAGTCCGTAAGTGGGGCAGAGAAAGGCCAGCAAAAGACGAGCAACAAGCCCTGTTCCTGCTGACAGAAAGGCCGCTGACAGCAAGCAAACCCTGCTTGCAGCTGATGCCCTTGAGGAAGCTAAGTGGGGAGGGCTGCCAACACCCTACCAGAGAGCCGGGCCCCGGACCCCAGGCCCCGGACCCCCAGGCCAGCTGCCCACCCATGGACTCTCTGGCTTTTGGGGACCCAGAACTGCAGAGAGGACAAGGCAAGGAAGAGGCTGGGAGTTCCAGCGAGACAAAGCCCAAGATGAAAGTGTTCTGGCTGCAACCCAGGGAACTACTTAAAAAAGGAAATGGGAAAACCTAACCAGCTCTGTAACTCCCACCTCTGCCACCAAGAGTTACCTAACACGGGCACAGAAGCAGTTCCTGGGCCTGCCTGGCATCAGACCTAGCACAGTGCCTGCTGTCGGCCACCTGCCACGCCAGTTCCAGTCCACGTGACACAGAGAGACTGACCGTATTGACTCTGGGGCATTTCATCCCCCTGTCCAGGCTGGGGCACAGGGCCAGAGAGCTGGGCCCAGGGATCATGTAAGAACTGTTGGGGGAGGAGGCCACCTCCTCCACCTGGGCTCCAGGCTGAGCAATCAAGCCTAGAGCTGCCTAGGGCCCAACCTTTCATGAGTGAGAAGAGCCCAGAAGAACAAGCATAGGGGAGGCATGGGCAGGTCCCTATCGACTTCATCTGGCACTAGACCACCAGATCTGTAACTCAGGGCTTTTTCAATTATATGAATAATAAATTCCTTTTTGAACTTGAGCCAGTCTGGGAAGTGTATGTCACTTATGCTGAAAAAAATTCTGACGTATGCTTTCTTTCCCCCTGATAATGTCTGTTTGGATGCATTCCTTATTAGCAAAGTTTTATCACCTTATACAGCATGTATCTGAAGATGGAACCAACCAGTGTGGAACTCTTCCTGAGATTCCCAAGTGTGCAAGAGAAGGACCCTGGAGAAGACAGCAAGCTGGTACCTTTTCTCTCCACTCTGAGTCTTGAGCCTTGGTCCCTGCGGCAGAACCCAGCCACAACACAGCTCTTCATGTGAGGAATCAAGGCTTAGCTCCCAGACCACCCCTCAACTCAGCTGAGATCTTCCGAGGGCTGCTGTCTCTGGGAAAATCTGGCCCTCTAGCAGCCTCCGTGGGCACAGACTAGGGGCTGCCTGATAGCTAGGTCCCTCTTCACAGATGCAAACAAGGGCCAGGGTGCAGGCCAGGCTGGCACAAATCTTCCAGAGAGCAAACACTGAGGCAGGCCCAGGGCTGCAGTGTGGACCACAAGCGTATACCTCCAGATACCCTGTTTTTTCATGGGCATCAAAACAACCCAGACCACTCTGATAATTTGGGAGCAAAGAATCATGACCGAAGCCTACAGAGGCAGCCTGCAAGGTGTGATGAACCAGGCCTGGGCCTTGTCCTTGCTCTGCTTCCTACAAGAGTCCGCTTCTGATCCTCTACAGGCTTAACTGGGTCATCCATCAAGGATGGTACCACTGAAACATGGCATTAACAACTATGCCTTCTGTTCTTCTGCCAGGAGAGTTGCCAAAGCCCATTCACACCTGCAATCAATTTGTACTTATCACCATCCTGAGAGTGAGGCAGGCATCGTGCCTGTTTTACGTGGTTTGGTACAGGTCTGGGTCAGGCCCGGCTGGCTCTCACTCCCACCAGCCTGTAGCCTGCTTACAGGCCTCTCTCTCATCTGTCCAGGTGGTGCAGGGGCCCACTTCAGAGTGAACCAGAGTAGAGGCCAGCTAGTGATCACTTGGCCCCAGCAAGCAGCATTCGCTCCCTAATGTTGAGTTTTGTCATCATGCTTGCAAGATGAAATCTGGGCCCTTGGTAGTAGCAGCCTTGTTAAGCGTGAAAGTTGTCAGGAAGTGAGGGCCACCCCCTCAGCCAAAGACCAGTGACCAACTGGGGGCAGGAAGGGGCCACCTCAAAGGAAAAGCAGTTCTGCTTGGGATCCCTGCACCCTGTGCCTGCTCAGCACACAATCTCTTTGGGTGTTCTGTGACCTTTTCTTCTGGACTGATAGGTTGGATTCAGGTCAACCTCTTGAAAAACAAAGCCGGATGCCCAAGAGTTCTATGCTAATCTCATGGCACGTGTGCACTTTTTCAAAGCCAAACCCATGTGGAAAGGGACGGACGGACGGGGCATGAGGGCCCTGAGACTTGAAGCAACGGCACAACAGGCAGATGGACCGGGGCTTCTGGGTCTGAATCCTGGCCCTCCACCTTCCAGCTCCGTAGCTTTTCTAATTTTGTTCCTCTGTAAACCGTGTATCTCATCCACCTCACTGACAAGTGCCCAGCAACATAAGCAAGAGTGCATGCTCAGCTGTCACCTGTCCAGTGATCCAAGCACCCCTGATCCTTTCCCTTGGGCCCAGGACTCCTGGCTCGTGCATGCCAAAGGCCACTCTGCTTGTCCCAAAGCCACCAGGCTGCTCCAAGGCTACAGTGCATTTCCACCACTGGTGTCCTCCAGGGAGACAGCGCGGCGTCCTTACCTGTAGGTCGCCACCTCCAGGCTGAGGCCGGCCTTGGCCTGCACCAGCTCCTGAAAATCCCGCAGCCGCTCAGCCAAGGCCAGTGTGAGAGCTTCCTTCTCATCCTCCAGGCAGGCGACCAGCCTCTAGAGAGAACAGAAGCACGGTGAGATCCGAAGACCTGAACTTTAGGGGCCGAGCAGAAGGAGCCAATCCTGCAGGCCATGAAAGAGATGAAAACCTCCAGGCTCATCAACCACGTGATCATTCGCGACAATGTTCTCAAAGACTGTATCTCTCCCGTTGCGGAGATATTTTTGTTGTACGTGGAAGGTTTGGACAGGCCCATTGCTTCCCTGGACTTTGTAGTAATAGTGAGTGCTACGGAGTTTGCTCAAATCAGCTCTACAGTATAGATATTGGTCCAGATAAGGAAATGCAGTGCATCAACTGATCAACAAGATGCTACTGAAAAAAGCCGTGAGTACAATCCAGGGAATTTTATAATACTTAACAGAAGTCAGGGGCTGGGAGATAGCTCAGTGGCATAAGCACCTGCCTGGTGGTAAGCACAAGGTCCTGGGCTTGAGCCCCAGCACCAAAAATAAAGGACAGAAGTCATTGAGAATTGAACTAAAATTGCTCCCAAAGTCAAGAGTTCCCCAGGAATAAGCAAGTAAATGGACACAGAATTCTTTGCTTCATCCAGAAAAGCTACTTTAAAATCATCTCGGCAGAAATCTATTCTGGGTACAAATGAAACAAATTCAAACTTGGACATAAAGCTTCACTTCCGGTCGTACTTGCGCAGCATGGCTCCTAAACACTCCCCACCACTTCTCTGCACCTCTCACCAGGTAGGCCCCTCCCCTCCCCTTCTCTTCCTGGCTAGAAGATGCCCCTGTACCCAGCTTCCAGACCAGCGGTCCCACTCGGCGTGCAGCCACCCAGCACACCCTTGGCAAACTGCATTTGAAATGAACCGACTGTGCTCCTGTAGCACTTTAAGCTGACAATACTTGCTAATTGATACGCATGCTGGCTTTATTTGTGCATTTTACAGGTTTGTGTTTCCTTTCTACTGGTTTATTAATCGCTCTGGGCAAGTTACCAAGGCCTGGCTCAGTTACTTTTCTCTCATTGGTGAGACAAAGTACTTGACCCCCAGCATTAAGGAAGGAAAGGTTTATTAGCTCATAGTGTGTGGAGACTTCAGTCCATTACCAGCTCGCTTCAAGGTAGGATGACATGACACAGGATAACCATTTAAGGCGGCAGAAGACAGCAAAAACAACAAGAGCAGAAAGGGGCGCGGGGAGCAAGGCTTTTTCCTTCCTGTATATTGTAAGCAGGCTACCACCCTTGGGTGGGTGTAGCACTCACATCATCTCCATGTCCTCTTGCACTGGCCGACAATATTTACAGAGTCAGTATCCCGGCCCCATGCTGAGTTACTCAGTTAAACTTCTGAACTTCTCAGGCGACACAGGAATCAACCATTACAACATCCTGGAAGGAAAACAGCCACCCTAGGACCTGTGCTCTCTACCCTAGGATGCAGAACTGCTGAGTCACTTAGTTAAGCTTATAGACTGTTCAAGTTGACACAAGGGATCAGCCATAATAGTCAAGTAGAAATTGAAACGCAGAAGTAAGTCCTTATATGTGTAGTTCTGGTGCCTCATAGGAAGTAGCAGTATCTTCAAATGCTATGAACTGAACCATGCCATGCTTACAGACATGTATCTCTGGAGAATTCAAAAACCGTAAGGCTATTCTCCTTGTTGCTGCAATCTGGCCACCAGAAGCACCTCGCAAGACCCTGAGGGGCCACACCAAAGCTGAGTGACCTTACCTGAAACCTCACCCTGGATTTATTACTTTAAAATGCAAAAGCACTATGCAAACCGTTCTGCTTTCTATAGCAGCTCCATTCCAAGCCAGTGATGTTAGGGTCTCTTTGTACCTCAAGGGTGCTAACGACAAAAAGCAAAGCCTACCTATTTTTAAGCAAAGCAGTTTAAGAACCACTGACAGCTATCCCAGAGTGGACATCTGTTAGCCTCCAAAGCTCGCACAAAGAGCAGATAAAGTATTTCCCCAAAGCAAGTCTGGATTTAAGTGAGAGATTCAGCTATGACTTTCACACATTCTATAATTGAATCTCGGTTTTCAAACCTTATGTTCCCTTGTTTTAAATTCAGGTAGAAATATATAGGAAATAATTTAGAATATAGAAAATTTGATCTAAGCAGTAAAAACTTGAAAATTTGTAACATTCTTCACAAATAAGTTCAAGTGTTGTTGAACAGCTTCATAAAAATAATGCACGAACCCAACTCTCCACCCAAAGGTAAAGACTTCCCAGTCATGCCCGAGGTAGGCAGTTTCTCTGTCCCCACCAGGGACACAAGAATAGCTCTGCACGCTGCAGAATAAGAGGAGGAAAACCAAGCTACCCTGAAGTTGCAGTAAGAATAGCTGCAAACACATTCCCTCATGACTCAACCCCTCCTAACTGTCAAAGGGAAAAGCTGTTGACCGGGAAGCGGGGACGTAGGAGCATAAGAAACCTATTGGCTCCTGACAGCCTCCACAGAACCTGTGACCAAGCCGGGTGGTCAAGGGAAGCCTCAGGCTTGGGCTCAGCTCCACCACAGGCTTTTCAGCCACGGGCCAGGTCAGAGCACTGGACACTAGACACAGGCTGCACATTCCAACCCAAGAGGAAACCTTTGTTGGGGCCAGGGAGATGACTCAGTGGAATAAGTGCTTCCCTGGCAAGCACCAGGGCCTGAGTTCAATCCCCAGTTATGAAAAAAAAATATATATATATATATAGATAGATAGATAGATAGATAAAGACTTTGTTCCTCGTGTTGCAAAAACTTGAGAAGGAGGTCACTTTTTTAAAGTCACTCTGCAGAGGACTTATGGGTAGCAGTATCTCTAGCAATGACAAAATCCAGCTCTGCACCAAGCAATGTGTATTGCTGCTAGTGTTAAAAAAATTTTTTTTTGACTTTATTTTAACCCACCCTGAACCTTTTTATCCACACAGACCAGACAGTAAGAGCTTTCTGATGTGTTAATCACTTAGAATTCTGAATGTTAAGGGTCAAAGAGACTTAAATACTCAGATGCCCTCATTTAGAAACAAGAACTAAATGCATCAGTAAGAAGCCTGAGCAGGGTGCCACCTGGGTGTGTACGGCTCTGCCCAGACAGTGCCCTAACTCCACATATAAATCTCACTGCCCTAGGTGAGCATTTCAGAGGCATCGCAGAGTGGGCATGTGGTAACTAAACTCTGACTCTGACCCAAACCCGCCCTTCTGCACCACCCGCTTCAGCCCAAAGCACCCAGGCTGCAAGTCCTGGGCTCACTTTGAGCCCCTCATGTCCCTGTCTCCAGTGCATCTGTAAGCAGACTCTCTCGGCTTCCCTTAAAGTCCCTGGCATCTCCCCTTGGCCCAGGCCTCCAGCATCTCTTGCCTTGATTATTCTGGGGGCCTCCTGACAAGTTCTCCTGTCCCCACTCTTGTCCAGCTGTCTACTGTCCACAGGGCAGTGACACACACCATGAAGAGCTCCCTCTCCCAGGACTCTCCCGTGGCTTCGTGTGGCACTCAGAGTCAAAGCCCAGGTCCTACAGCAGGCATTCTCCCCCTCGCTTCCTCTCCCAGCCATCCTGACTCCCAGGTTGTTCCCTGACACCACACACTGCTGCCTCCTGAAGACCTCTGACCTTCTCTGCTGCATTTTGTATTTTTCTCAGAACCAAGCTTGTACACTAAGTGCTCTATGTTAGCTGGATGAAGGACCTGAAGAGATATGGGCTGGGAGCTACTTTTGCCATCCCTGTTTCACGAGGGGAGACTGAGTCACAGGAGAGTTAGGGAACTTGACTTGCCCTTTGAGCAGCAGGGTCCCAATCCTGGCCAGGTAGGAAGGTTGCCACAGGGCTGGTCCTCCGCCCAAGGCTTATCCCAGTCCCCTTCCAATCTTTTTTTTTTGTTTTTCTTTTGATCACATTTTGAAGGCCTGAAAGCAGTTCACAGTTGGCCTCAGTAGCTAAGAGTTCACTTACACAAGAAAAACCTGTCTGCTGGGTGTGGCAGCATATCTCCCTGGAATGCCAAGATTCTGAGAGGCCGAGGCAGGAGGATTGCAAGTTCAATTTAAAAAGACTGCCTCAAAAGAGAGGGAGAGGGACATTGAAGAAACATCCTGAGGTTTTTAGACTGGTATCAATTACAAACATCTTGAGGGTTTTTCTCCCTACTGCTCTTTCCTCCAGACTGGCTGTGTTTCTCAGACTTCAGGGAACCTGGATCACATATAAAATGCTGGGAACTTGAATGCTCATGCGGTGAACACCTCTGGCAAAGGAGAGAAGGCGTGGGGCCATCTGGGAAGGACCATTTATGTCTGGAGCCTATGGCCGCACATGAGGACCCAGAGGCCAGGAGGTGCTGGTACCATGAGGTGCCATCTTCCTCCTGTGCCTACTGCGCCTGTTCCTGTCTCCAGGTTAGAGGTGGGGGGGGGACCCTATTAACCATGTAGGAAAAAGCAAGCAGGAAAGACTGCATTTAAAACTGTTCTGACAACAGCCAGCTAGCTGCAAGGAACTAAAAAAAGCATCATAGGGTTTTAAGACAATGAGGCACCGCTGGGCCGGTCCTTAGCAGCAGCAATTATCATTCTGCTAGGAATGCAAGAGTCTTGGCTAAATAAAGGTTTCTTTTAGAGAGAGCAGGCAGAGGAGAGGACACAGGCCCAGGGATGAGTTGCAGGAGCCCCAGAGCAGGGGGAGCCCTGATTTTGCCACCTTTAGTCTAGGCTCTCCTGCTACAGGGCAGGAACAGAGGGGAAGGCTTGGTGGCTGCAGCCATTACAGCTGACACAGAACACTGTATAAAGGCCGTTAGTGATAAAACATTTGTTGTGGGAAATTAAACTAGTTTTAGGGATCCTCTGTGTCTCCCCTGAACATCTATGGAATTCAAGGAAAAAAGAAGAGGCTAGGCTTAGATCATTGATACCCAACATAATTCTAGGCACTTTTCTGATTGGTATTGAATCTTGCAGAACGCAGTTTAAAATACGCTTGCTTTAGGCTAGTGAGGCAAAGCTCCAGGATATGGATAAGGTGGGGTAGGCAACACCCAAATAAAACAAGACCCCCACAAATTAGAGCTGGAAATACCCCATGTCCTCAACTACACTGTCCTTGCTCTCTACTTCTAGGGGAAAGGAGTGAATTCAAACAAGACAGGGTATCACTGGATGGGCAGCCAGCTGGGGGCCTAGTCCAGGTCAGATGGGACCTCGGGAGAGCCCATTCCCTGGGGGAAGAGCAGCTCAGCGGTTCTAAGTCTAGATCTAAAATGAGCCAAGTGAAGTATGAGATTAAGACAAAAACAAACAACAGCACACTCCACGAGCCACAGATAGAATTGCGGAAGCCCCCATCACTTTATGGTTTTTCCTGTAGCCTCCAGCTCCTGAACACTGAAATACCAGCACAGTGCTGTGGATCCAGAGAAAGCCGGTGCCGCTCTTGTGGTCATGTGCAGCCACCGGGCACATCCCCACAGCCTCTCCACAACACAACGCCTCCTGTCCCTTCACTTCTTTTAAAAATTGTACCAAAACGCTCTATCCTGAATCTTCAGCTTACAGCTGCAAAGTGTCTTAAAATCTTTCGGATATCCTGCCTGTACTGGTCTAAACTGCCATACTGGGAACAACCGATAGTATGATTTGGGACCATTTCCAATTCTGGCGGAGGCCAGGCAGGGCAGGGGCCAAACACCAGCACCCGACTGGGAGCTGGCACAGGTGTCCGCCTGTGGCTGTCAGCAAGGAGGAGGCCGCTTCTTTGAATAGGAACTGTTGATGTCAGCCTGAGCCTGTAATAACACCTGCCACCGGCCCTGCTCTCCCTCACTTTTTTACTGCCCAGGGATCTGACGTCAGCTCGCAATGTAAGCAAAATATCTGATTCTTTTCTGCGTTATGGCTGGTTCCCCGGGGTTGGGGTAGGAGCGAGCCCAAACAGCCAAGACCAGCTGCCTCCAGCTAGGAAATCATTCTGGCAAAATAAAACCCATTTTGGAAACCCGTTTAAAAGTGGGCACCTTCCATGTATAGATCTAAGATTTTCTTAAACCTCCCAACACCCAGAAGCACGCCGTCACTTCTGCAATTCTAACAGGTTTCTTGGTTGATGTTGGGTCTGTCTATAGAAGCAGGCAAACTGAAAGAAGCACCGGGCTAACAGGTGGCTTGTCAAGATCCAAAGTTAACCTAAGGCAGTGGCGGCGCTGGGCTAGCCGCTCATAGCTGTCTGTCCCTCGAGCTGAAAGGGCCTAATGGACCATGCTCTTCCCTGGCTGAAGAGACGCCTGGACCCCGTGGTCTGGCCACAAAGCAAAGGGGCTCTTGCCCCGGCTGGAATTCTAGGTCCTTCGGGATAAGCCTTGCGTGTCTTCGACGCCGCACCCCGGGTGAACTCGCCATGGGTCGGGGACATCGCCACCTCCCCACCCCCACCGTGGGCGGGGCGCTGGGCATAGCTGCGGGGAGGGCGCCGCTCCGGCACGGACCTGCCGCTCCTCGGCCTGCAGCCCGTGCTCCTGGTGCATCCGCCGCAGCTCATCCTCCAGGCGCGCGCGCAGCTGCTCCAGCTCCAGCGCCTGGCGCTCCAGCGCCTCGGCCTCCAGCGCGCATAGCCGCGCCTCCTCCTCTGCCTCGCGCCGGTTCTCCTGGCCCCGCAGCAGCGCCTCCTCCAGCTCGCGCACCTCGTCCTCGTACAGCTGCACAGTGTCCCGCCACGACTCGGCCACCAGCAGCGCGTAGCTGTCGTGCACCTCCTGCAGGCGCGGCGGGGGCGCGGCGGGGCGGGCGGCGCGGGCTCGGAAGTGCAAGCTCGGGGCGTGGGCGCGCGCGCGCAGCTCCCGCACCGCGTGCTCGTGGGCCGCGTGGAGGTCGTGGTGCTCAGCCTGCAGCTGGGACAGCAGCGCCTCGAGGGCGGCGCGCGCGCCCACTGCCTCCTGCAGCTCGCGCTGCTGCGCGCCCAGCTCGGCGTCCAGGCGGCCGCGAGCGTCGCGCTCCTCCGCGCACAGCCTCTGCAGCTCGCGCAGCTCCCGCCGCAGCGCGTCGCGCTCGCCCTCGGCCAGCGCCGTTTCCCAGCTCAGCGCGTCCAGCTGCGCCCGCAGGCCGCGCGCCTCCTCCGCCGAGCGCGCCTGGTCCTCGGCCCACAGGCGCCCCTGTCGCAGCTGCGCCTCCAGCTGCTGGTTCTCGCGCTCCAGCTCCCGCACCCGGCTGACGTAGTCATGGAGCCGGGCGTTGAGCTCCTGCAGTTCTGCCTTCTCGGACGCCGTCTGCAGCCGCCACAACAGCATCTTGAGCGCTCCCGCCTGTTCGCTGCCCTCCCGCCCGGATCTTGTCCCCTCCGCCGCCTGCCCGCTTCGCTTCGCCTCGCCTCGCCCCGCCGGCCCCGCAGTCGCCCCGGAGGCCCGCAGACTGGGCGGGCGCAGCGAAGTCGCTGCTCTTAGCGCACTGGGCGGGCGGCTCCGGGCGCTGGCCGCGGCCTCCAGCCAATCAGAGCGCGGCCCAGCTCGGCCTCGGTGGCCGTACAGCGCCCCCTGCCGGGATGACCGCTACGCCGCAAGGCTGCCCAGCCAGGCCGCCAGGTTGGTAGCTGCGGGTGGTGGCCTGCTGGCTGCGCAAAACTTCAATCGGGCTTTCAGGATGGGACTACCTGCTGCTCCCCTGACACATACCTAAGACACCCAAAAGTCCTGCTTTTGCGGATGAAAGTGAGACATCCGGAGCAGCTGCAGACTTCGGTACCGTATTTGTGGGATGCTTCCTATTTGAGGTGCTACATTTGGGATATTTGTATTTTTTAAATTTTGGAGAGTTGAGGGAGCGTGTTTGCTTAGCATGCACAGGGACTGGGTTCGATCGCTAGCACCATGAGAAGTAAAAAGGGAAAATTATGTATACATGTAAGATACATTGTATCCACACATGTATACATATACTGTGGATGTGTGCGTTGCGATCTGTTTCAATTTTTTTCTTTTACTATAACACAAGTAGATATTGATAAAATATAAGACATTGTTCTTCTATGAAAAATAAAACAACATTTCATTACAAAATACTAAGGCTATAGCAGTGGTTAATATACTGTGAGTCGCGATCTTAAAAGAATGGCCAAAATGTTAGAGTAAAAATCATAGACAAAAAAAGTATTCTCTCACAAAAAAAGGAGAAAGCTTTCTTTTCAATGAACCAAAGAACCTAGTGATACAAGTGAAACAAATTCGGACTGAGTTATCTGACTCTCAGTCTCTTTTAACCTAAAGTGTGGATACAGCTCCATTTGTGCACCTCTGTTTAGAGGGTGGGCTTTTCTTCCCACACAGGCCAACTGGAGTTCTATTTTCCTTTCTTGTATAAACTACCTTCGCTGGAAATGACACTCTACAGCATCTATTTTTTACTTGGGGAAAGAACTTAGAGACCTTGGGGATCTCTGTGTGCAGACCTGTCTAGATACTTAACCTGATCTCAAACGTTTACAGTCACTCCAGCCTGTATATGCACACTTAGTGTGAAAGCCAGTGATTTTTCTTTTTTTTCAACTTGGTACCCTTAAGAAAGTACTCAGTTTAATAGCCATAGAAACCACAGCTCTGTTTTGCATACTTGCATTTCATTACTTTTTGTGACAGTTCCTTCAGTTATGAAGGGCAGCAGCGGCGTAAGTAGCAGTGAGAGGCACAGGGACAAACACAGCTGGCCCTTGGTTGGCTGTGGGTGCCGGGGCCTGGGGCGGCCTGCAGAGTGAGCCACCCACAGGCCACAGGGTTCTGTATGGCGGGGCTGCTAGTCTGGTGCATTTTATGAACAGCATGGGAGGTGGGTTGGCCAGCTTGATAATCCAGGAAGGTCCCTGAGGAAGCCTCCAGGGCTCCCCTTGTGACACACCTGAGTCTGCAACCACAAATGGGACAGAAGGGGAGTGGTGACTCACCAGAGATCCCACTCTGGGTGGTAAGAATGTATGTCTCCCTGCTGACCCCCACTCCCTTCTGTGGGTGCAGGCAGAAGGTGGGTGATTCGCTGTGGACCCACCCTTTCCCATTCATCCAAGTGCATGTCCACCCCTGGCTCTTGCTTGTCAAGTGCAGCAGTGACCCCGCAGTGGTAGGGTCAGCCAGACTTGCCCGGAGTACCCCCAGTATGAGCCACACAGGAAACGTGGGGCTGCTGTGGTGTGGCTCTCACAGTTATCTGGGCTTGGTCACCACCATGCACACCTAGCTCTTTGGTTTCTGTGTGCCTCCGGGGCTTCCACAGTCCCACATTCCCAGGCCCGAGGGGTCCCCTGGCAGGATGCTTAGCTCTGACTCATTAGGTATTTTTTGCCCTATGCCCTTCGTGGTCTTGGGTTTGAAACTGGACCCTCCCTTCACTTCGGCTTTAACCTGTCCTGCAGGAAATGACTTATCCCAGTGCAGCTTCCCAGTTAGGAACGAGAGAGCACCAGAAATAGCCGAAGAAAAAGAACGCCATTGATTAATCTTTCAAAAGAATATCCTGGTGCTTCGTACTTAATTCTTACAACACTAAGGCTCAGAGGCATTGAGTACTTGCCGGAGGACAAACAGCTCTTACATGAGGCATCGGGAAGCAGTTTTAGAGGTTTTGACCACCAAAGCGGTCTGGAGCAGTCGGGGTCTGACCAGGAAATAGAAAAGCCTCAAAAATAAGGAGTGAGGGGCCGGTGAGATGGCTCAGTGGAATAAGCACTTCCTGGCAAGCATTAGGCCCTGAGTTCAGTCCCGTGGAATGGAAGGAGAGGGTCACTCCGAGGGGGAGATCTGAGGGGGCCACCAGGGACCAGCCAGAGTGGGAACCCACGAAGCCCTTAGCACTCTACGGTATTGGCCAAGCTGGGGGCGCCTGGAGCTGTGGAAGGCCCTGGAAGAGGAGGCGGAAGCCCAGCCTACTGTGGTCCCGCTCTCTCCTCTCCTGCCAGCACCTTCCCTGGAAGCCGGAAGTCTGGGGGCTGCAGCTGCGTGGTGGTGCTGGAGTGAGTGCTGCCGTCGCAGGCTCAGGGATTCTGCGAAACACTTCCGAGACGCAGCCGTTACGAAAGCACACGATAAACGCTTATAACTCATTCTACTTTCCCGTACAGTCTTGTCAGCTCTTGAAGGTTTGCATAGCCAGTGCACAAGTGTTATTTGATGTGTGACTCCGACTCCTCACTCTGAAATCGTGCTGGTGATTTGCACGTGTATATGGCACACAAATCAATTGGCCAGTCCTTTTCGTGGCCCGATTTATCAACCTTATGGAGAGTCTACCCTTTAAAAAGCAGTGCAGAATACGCTAGCAATGCAGGTTAGACTTAGTCCTGGGTTGTGCCTCTAGCTACTGAATTGGAGATTTGAGGAAACATTTTTCAGTATTGCAGAACTGCTATCCAGATGAGCAGGAATGTCTGCCAACGCTCACGCTGTGCTACATTGCAACCCCAAAGTAATAAAAAAGATCAGCGTTCTGCAAAAGGCAGCGGGCACGTTTGCCAGGGATAAGTGTGCCTTATGGAATTTAGGACAAGGAGTATTGTATGTTTGACTGTTTCTTGCAATAAAAATTTGAAAGCTGCCTCAGTGTTGCCACCACATTAAGAAACATAAATTTTTATTGGTAAGTGAATGACCAAAATTCCTCTAGTTTTCATTTCTTATTGGCATTCATGTATAGTAGAATATATACGGAGAGAGATCTGTATTTCTATCCACCTATCTGTATCTGTATTTATCTATCTATCTATGTATCTATAGGATTTCATAAAATAATTTTAATTCTGAATGAAATAGTTTGTCCTGAAAATGTTTTCTTTTTAGAATTAGCCCAACACAAAACAAATTTCTCACTGCTGGGAAGACAGTGGTTTCAATGATTTTCTTTTAACCGTAGTTTCTCCTGGGCAGGCTAAAGGCTGTAAGGGACCGTCTATCTTTCCTGTTACCATTTCCAGTGTAACTAGAACGCAGGGACGACATAGAACTGGGGAGGACACAGTGACAGTTTAGCCTCGCTCCCTGACAGCCCTGTAAGGAGTGGCATTGGGGAGCAGCACCGACTTCCCGGAAGGGGGCGCTCGAGCCTCACCCAGGATTCTAGGGCCTCCGCAGCTCCCGACACCTCCCAGTAGGAGGCGGTGGAGGGGAGGCAGGGCAGGTCGGCAGCCAGCGTTTCAAGGAAACCGAGAAGCAGGAGGACTGTGAGGGGCCGAGCGTTCAGACTTATCGCTGTCCCGTTTTGGGCTTGGGGGACCAGGCTTCTTTCTCTCCCTCTCACGCACTCGGGCTCCTTCCTTCTGCTCTCAGCCCAGGGGAAGGCTGCTCCTGGCAGAAAGCCAGAAAGAACGGGTCTACGTGGCTTTGGCATCCAAAGTCCACGTTTCCAGGGACTCAAGGAGGACCTCTGGCTAGATCAAAGTTGGGGAGGAAAACCCAGGGAGAGCTGGGGACCAAGCGCTCTTAGGGGAGAGCCGATGAAGGGATGGGAGGACTGCTTATGGGGTCTTCCAGGCTAAGCTGCAGGAAACTGTGGACTCGGGCACACGCTCCTGTGTCTCACTTCCCAGGGGCACCTTTGGGTGGTGGCAGCAGGTCTAAGGAAAAGGGTGGTGGCCTGGAGCCCTTTCTGGGCACCCACCCCATTAGGAGGGAGGCCCTGACCCGCACGCACCACACGGAAGTGGCAGTGGACTGTAGGCTCCAGCCTGCTCCAAGCTTCCTTTGTGCCCGCAGAGAACGGTACCCTGCCTGGGCAGGTGGATGGGTCCTTGGTGTGTGACTTCCCTGGTCAGTGGGTGGTTCCTTGGTGCTAAGGCAAAGTGTCCTGTCCTCAGGGTAACTGTGGCCCTACACCCACACTCAGGGTTGGCAGCATAGCCAGAGCAGCAGTCCCACGTGTCACCTCACTGAGGCACCTTTGTGCAGTGGACAGGATCCCTGCTCACCCGTGGTGGCCCCAGCATCTGTCTTAGTCTCTGGAGATCAAAGACTCTTCCGGGAAACTAGTGGAGGCCAGCACGGACAGGTGATACAAGGACAAAGCAGGTGCCAAATCCTAGTGCCTTGGCACTGTGCAAGTCTTTGGCAGTTCTGGTGCTGCCCCAGGGAAGGGGCCAGACTCTTGGACTGGTGGCCCTGAGTTTTCATGATCCTAGTGGAAACAGGAGCTCAAGATAGAAATTAGGTGGAGAGATAGACATAAATCTGCCGCTATGTCTCATGCACGTATGTGTGTCCACTGGCACGCATGTGGCCCTGACAGGTTTGGCGAGATAGGAAGTGACATGAGCAGAGGAAAGGAAGTGGCTGGAAGGTATGAGTGGGACACAGTGCAGTAGTGTGGCATGAGCTACTTCTTGTCCTGCAGCTTAGTGACTGCAGGGCCTTAGGCATGACAGCC